TAAGAATAACTAATAATGTATATAAATCTATTTAGATTAATATATAGGAACTTAAAGAGTTTATTAATAAATAGTATATATTAAATAGTATTTTTAGTTAATAAAGTTATATTATAATAATATAGGAAAAGCTTTTTATTAAATAAAGGATAATAGGTAATAATTGTAGTAAGCTAAGACTATTTTCTTTTAGTAATGAGAGATTATTATTAAGATATATTAGATTAGATTAAGAATTGAAATATTTTTTCTTTAAATAAATCGATAAAAAATAGATAATAAAAGTGAATAAAGAAGATAAAAGGATAAAGAAAATAAGAGAATGAAGAAGATAAGAGAATGAAGAAGATAAGAGAATATAGAAGAAGAGAAAAGTAGAATAGAGAAGAGAAAAGTAAAATAGAGAAAGTAAGAAATAAAAAAAAAAAGAAAGGAAAAAAGAAATAGAAAATTATTTATAAAAAATTAATTCTTATAAAAAAACTATATTTATATCAGTTTTATTAGTGATTACTAATAACTACTAATTATTATTAATAATAAAAAGTTAAATTCTTTTTTGAATATTAAAATAAGCTTTTTATCAATTTATTTTAAAAACTAATAGTAATTAATAATTACTAATAATTAATAAGAATATATAATTTTAGAAAACTCTAAGATTCTTAGTTTTTATAAAAAAGTATATATATATATATATATTATATATATATATATATTATATTCATGAATTAAATAACTTTTATATCAAAGTTAAATTTCTACTAATAGATATAGATAAAAAATAATAAATATATAAATCTTATTTTTATATATTTACTAAGTTATTTTCTATAAAATATATTAAGTTTTCTTTTACTAATAACTATTAATAAAAAAGTAATAAAAAATAGTATATATATAAAGATATTTTTTATCTATATAAAAAGTTATTTTCTATTTTATTAGTAGTTATTAATAAAATATATAGTAAAAGATAGTATATATATAAACTTATTTTTTTATATATATTTATAAAATTATTTTCTATAAAGAGTATTAAGTTTTCTCCTACTAATAACTACTAGTAAAAAAATAGTAAAACATAGTATATATATAACGATATTTTTTATCTATTTAAAAAGCTATTTTCTATTTTACTAGGGATTACTAATAAAAGATTTATTATAAATTATTTAAGTCTACTATTAAAACTTTATTTTTTTTTATCAGAAATACCTTTATATAAAAAAAAAATTACCACTTTTTACCACTATTTACCAGTAAAGTTTACCACTTTTTACCATCTAATTCTAGTAGTAAATAGTAGTAAATAGTAGTAATAAATAGTAAAAAATAAATAGCACTAATAAATATAGCCCTAAGCCCTAGAAAATAGCCCTAAGCCCTATCTATTTTCAGAAAGATACATTGAAATTCTAATCCAAAAACTCACATAGTTGTCAGGTCAGTGGTCAGAGATGGTAGTTACTAGAAAATAGATTTGAATTAATTTTGATTTACTAACATTTACTAGTGCGTTGACCTGACTACCTGACTAGATTAGCCGAAAGTACCTTACCCTAATGGTAAATCTAATTTTCTACTAGTAATTACTAATTATAACTAGTAAGATTGACCAGACGACCTCATTGACCTAACGACCTAACGAGCGAAAACCCCTCTTTTTTTTAATAATAGAAATACTTACTTTTTTTTATTAGATTAATTTTTTTAGTAAAGAATAAATAGCTAAAAAGAAATATTTTAGAGATAGACTTTTTTTGTTTTAATCTTAAAAGAAATTATACTATTAGTTTTAGAGATAGTTACTTTATAATTATTAATTAAAATTGATTTTCTTTTATCCTTTAAGGTTTTAATCTATAAATTAATTTTATAAGTTATTTAGATATAGATCTTTATAAACTTTTTAAAATTAATAGTTAATTTAGTTTTATAATATATTATTTATAACTATAGTAATAGGGATAGTTTTTTATAGAGTTTATATTTTTAACTCTCTAGAGGAATACTTATTTTCTTAGTAAACTATTAGTATTAAATAATAAACTTATTAAAATTATTTTTAGATCCTATAATAAATTTTTTATATTTAATTATAAGAATCTTCTATTAGTTCTCTTTAGTATAGATATTTATAAATTATTCTAATATATTTTTGAAATCTTTATATAGTATTACTATATTATCTTCTAATTAGGGTACTAAACATTCTAATATATCTCTCTTATAATAGTTTTATATATATAATTTTTAAGAGAAAAAATTAATATAATAATCTATATTAATCTTCAATTTATATTAAATAAAGATTACCTAGATTTCGAAATATATATTCTAATAATTAGTTAAGATTAGAGTATTAAATATTTTAGATAATTTATTATTCTTAGCGATAAATTAGTTATCTCTAATCAGATTTTATTTTTTTTAATTCTTCTATTAAAGGATTATTCTAATAATAGTAGATTATTAAAGGTTTATTCTAATAATAATAGATAATATATTATTTTTTTTCTTTTTAAAATCCTTATAGTAATTTATGATTTATTATATTTCTAATTAAATATTCTAAATTTATTTTTATATCTTTTATAATTCCTTAATAATAGCTAGTAATATTATATAGATTATAATAATCTTATTCTATATCTTTGTAAATTAATTATATAGTTTATTAATCTTAGTCTTAAGGTTTCAATTTCTAATATTTAATTTTACTATTTTAGTCTATAATTATTTAAATTTTTTATTAATATTTCGTTCTATATTATTATTAATATCCTATTTCATTTAATCTAATTTAGAATCCTTCATAAAAATATTAAATACTAATTTATATTCTATTCTCTATTAAAATCCTATATCTAGATCTATTTTAAGATTCTTTTTAAAATAAGAAAAAGTAAAGTTTAAGTTTTATAGAGTAAAGTTAAAGAGAGTTTATCTATATTATTATACTATTAAGTATAAAGTAAAGAGTAATATTTAATATTATAATATTTACTAAGTTTATAAGATTAAAAAGTATATTTATCAAAAATACCAAGTATAAAAAAAGGAAAAAGAAGAAGAGAGAGAGAACTAATAACTAGATCTATCTTTCTAATCCTATACTCTCTCACTTAATCCTTAGTTTATCTTAACTTCCTTTAAGCATCTAGTTTAAATACCTATAACAGGGTATACTATATATATAACATCTTATGACCCACGCACATAACTTTAATATCCCATGATATGTGATATGCTCAATATATGATGTGCTGAATACGTGACCTGATCATATAACCCAACCACATAACAACTATTTTAGTTTATAGTTATTTAAATTCTTTATTAATATTTTATTTTATATTATCATTAGTATTTTATTTTATTTAATCTAATTTGGAATTATTAATAACAATACTAGGTACTGATTTATATTTTATTCTTTATGAGAATCCTATAGCTAGATTTATTTTAAGGTTTTTTAAAAAAATAAGTAAAAAGTAAAATTTAGATTTTATAGAGTAGAGATAGAATTAGGTTTATCTATATTATTATATTATTAGATATAAAATAAAGAGTGATATTTAATCTTATAATATCTATTAGATTCCTGAAAATAAGAAATATATTTGTTTAAAAAGATTAAATATAAAAAAGAGAAGAAGGAGAAAAGAAACCTTTAGTGACTAAATCCATTCTTTTAGTCCTGTGCCCTCTTACTTAATCTTTAGTTTATCTTGACTTCCTTCAGATATCCAGTTTAGGCACCTATAGCAAGACACACTATGTATATAACATCCTGTGACCTATGCACATGACTTCAACATCTTATGGATATGTGATATACTCAATATATGATATATTGAACAAATGATCTGATTATATGACCTAACCATATGACATAGAGTATAGAAGTAGACTAAAGCTAATTATAATAAAAACCTATATAGTATTATTCTGAAGAAAATATAGAGTGAAATTTAGTATTATATTATAAACTGTCTTCTCCTTAAAAAAAGAAAGATATATTAAATTTAGAATATCAAGCTTAAGGAAAGAAAGGAAAGAAAGAGAGATCTAAATAAGAGCTATTTTTTTCCCTCTAAGTTATAGGACTTAATCTGAGGCTTCTTATCTATCTCTTCCCCATCTGTCTCTTCACTTACTATCAGTCATATGATCTATATCATGTGACTCATATGGTCATTCGACCAAAGGCATGTGACTCGAACACATGACCTATCATGTGACCGCATACACATGACTCATCTAGCACGTGACATAAGTTATAGCACTTTATCTAAGGCTTCTCATCTATCTCTACTATATTAGTCTTATTACTTAACATCAGGCATATGACCTATATCATATGACTTCCAAGATCACCTAACTCACTGCATATGACTAGAACACATGACCTTATCATATGATCGCGTAACACATGACTTATCTAGTACGTGACACCTTTATTGTAAGAAGTCCTGACTTCATACAATGTCAGAACGAAGCGTTGGCGATACGCCAGCGATTCGCATATGAATCCCCAACTCCGCAGAAGCTGGAGGTTTGTACCAAGGACATGGATGCAACATGGAAGGTCCCAGAAGATTCCATCCTCTATGGGAACAAGGGCAGAGGTCATGCGATATTACCATGTTGTGAGTCGTGTATGTAAAGACATAGATTAGTTGACGGGTCATCATCCGGTCATCTTGCAGAAGTGCCATAAGATGGGAAAGTCCCCCAGGACTTTCTCACTTCTGCAAGAATCAGTTTTGAAATAATCTACAAGCCTACCAACCCCAAAACCAGTATCGATTCGCTAGTGATTCTGTAGCGAACCGAAACTACTTCTTCTTGATATCTTGCCGGGTTGACAGGCCGTACGCCTGAACCTGTACACCCCTTACATTTATTCACATCCATGGATAATATACTCTAAAAATATTAAGAGAATATATTATCAGTTATCATATAAACAAATCCACGCAAAAAATCACAAGTCAGTGTAAGAGATTGAAAAATACAGTCACCCGTTCATACTCTACATCAGCGCCAGGAGGACCAGTTCTGGGGACACCCTTGGCAGGTCCCGCTATGGCCTCCAAGTCAACCTTGGTCATCCCTGGATGTAGTCGTATATCATACACTGGTGTAGTTGCATCGCCAGACGAGTGAAGGCGCTGCATACCCGTTAAAGCAACCACCTTCACCTGTCGGTGGCTAGTGCTAGCCGCCAAGCGAGGCTTGAGGGTTAGTAGGTTATGTGATGAGGGAAGATGAATCGTGACTGTCTGTTGTGACACAAGCGATGATGGCGGAATGTCCAAGCAGAAGTCAGGCTTCAGTGACAAGGAGGCATGAGTAGCAACTCGAACATTACGAATAAGCGCCGTGCTTGCATCTAGCGGCAGTCTTAGCGGGAAAGAAAGAGAAAAGAAAAGAAAAGAAAAGAAAAGCCAAAGCCAAAGCCATATAGCATAGAGAAAGCGACGAACCTTGGCCTGATTGCCTCAGAATAGAATCCATCATGGATGGTCCCGTATGATGTTGACATGATGGGTTATTGGCTGGCAATGGATTAGTACAGGGTTGGAATCGAGTAATTTCTGTGCTCCCATCCGTTTTCTGATGCTCTCGAAGGGCCACAGGTATGATTAAGGGTCTAACTTACGTGGAGAAAAAGGATGAGCATCAGTTGCAAAGGCCCCGGGGTTCGCATGTGAAGGAGCTTGCGACGTGGACGTCGAGGTGGGTGGTTCGTCCCTTACCAAGTCAGACAGCCCCCGTGCGCTCAAAGACGGGCTCAGTTGTTCGGATGTAGACTCGGTAGCAATGACTAGCCGAGAGTTGTCTAGTTTCCCCACAGATTGTGCCTGAGGGGACGTGCCGGCATTCTGAGGCGCCAATCCCCTCGGTGTACGTTGATGTGGGCCAGAGGGTTCCCGGTCAGCTATGCCATCTGGCGACTGGTCGTTGGTTTGCATGATTGTATTGGAGCCCAGTGTAGGCATACTCGGGATTGACCCTCCCGCTATTGGAGGCACAGATGTGCCTATTTTCAGTTTGATGCGAGGCATCCCAAGCATCCCATCTACATGGGAATCCGGAACAAGCTTCTTGGCTTCTCCAACCCGTTGCGCAAAGTAACCCTAAGCCTGTAAGTAAGCAGATACATGGAACACGGGGGCGGTGCACAAATCTCACCTCTAGGATTCCCGCGAGTGCCGAGATTTCACTGTCGTCTTCATTGTATTCCCTGGCATTTCGCCAAATGAAGCTAACTTCTTCCTCAAAAGATTGCCAAGTGGGATACGCAGTTGTTTTGGAGGTGTTTTTCCGGCTGTCTGTGCCGCGGACCTTCTTCTGTATGCTCCGCAACGAAACAGGGTGCTGAATCAGCTCATAATAGTCTCGGTACAGGGCCCGGTCTGGTTTTCCGATGAATGGATAGGCTACTTCCTGGCCACTGCAATATATTAGCGTCATACATAAGTAGGGTCCAATGGCGAGGCCCACTCATCATCCTGCAGCCTGGTCAACTCGGACATGATCTTGTCCTGTGCGCTCTGCAAATTGTCGCCCTCAAAGTCAACCTCAGACTCCTGGGCTTCCGGGGCTTCATCTTCCTCTGAATCAGTGTGTGAAGATGCGCGACTGGATATCTCCATGAGATCATCCTCCTGCTGTCCAAGGTTGGTTAGCTTTCGCATGAACGGCGTCAGGGTTGGACGCAAAGCAAGGTGGGAAATGGGTACATGCACACATGACCCTGAATGGGTACCAATGCAGTTTCCAATAGAAGGAAGAAACCAGACTTACGGAGACCTTTCGACGTTTGGTCCGGGTTCTGACATCCGGGGAAGCTGCTGCAGCCGATCGGCGTTTGGAGCTCATGGTGAGTTACAAGTCAATGCCAAATCCGAAGATGACCTGAGCAAGCATATCCCAGTAAGCGTCACGTAATGAGGTAGTGAAAAAAGCTAAGTGAGCATAGAGTACGGACCACAGAGTATACTAAAGCTGAAGACGTCCAGACGCGTTTGATGCGGTCACCCCGGGTTAGGTAATGTACCTGTTACAGACACCTTACAATACACTCGAGGTGGGCCGGTAGGATCATGGTGAATTTGAAGGGACTGGTGACGCTAGCCTGGGTTTGTGGTGGTAATACCATACCTGGGTAATGTCCTCCAGAGCATGACATAAGCCGCACGACCCGCACGCCTCAGGCATCAAACCATCCTTCCCCCCCCCCCCCCCCCCCCCCCCCCCCCCCCCCCCCCCCCCCCCCCCCCCCCCCCCCCCCCCCCCCCCCGCCCCCC